ATATGTCAGCACTATACACAAGGTGTTCCTATATGTCAGCACTATACACAGGGTGTTCCTATATGACGGCACTATACACAAGGTGTTCCTATATGACAGCACTATACACAAGGTGTTCCTATATGTCAGCACTATACACAAGGTGTTCCTATATGTCAGCACTATACACAGGGTGTTCCTATATGACGGCACTATACACAAGGTGTTCCTATATGACAGCACTATTGTATTCAAAGGATGGTCTAATATGAATGCAACTATTCAGGCTAATAAATGTTCAGTTTGGCTTGCATCCCCAGGGTTGCTGAAGTTGATTTGATTCCCCCAGATCATGAAATCATAATAGCTGAGCTGAGGGACATGTGGATACCTTCTTGATCATTTTCATAACACCATTAATATAGTAAACATGGCGAAGGGTTTTTTTTAGTTAGAGCTATTATGCAAATATTTTCCCCAAATAAAGGCTTTGTCCACAGTGTGGCCTCATGCATGTTGTGCACTTACCACTGCACAAAGGTAAAACATGCTGGAGTGTATGCTGTCGGAAGGTTAATGTTACCGACTACCATCAGGACCACTTCATTCAGTAGCACATCACATATTACTGGGAAACCTTTGGCAAACAGACATCAACAAAACGCCAAACGGCCACTTTAGCCACTATTCACTATAAATCTGCTTGGTCTAGTAAGCTCATCTAAAATAGTAAATATAATACTATATGCAAGACATAAATGGCATATGTAAATTCTGAAACTGATGCTTAGAGTCAAGTTAAGGCAAGTAATCTCACAGATTGAAACAGATGGTGTTCACAAAGATGGTAACAGGTCAATGTTTTCATATCCTAGTAGTTTCATATCCTAGTAGTTTGGTATCCAAGTAGTTTGGTATCCAAGTAGTTTGGTATCCAAGTAGTTTTGCATCCAAGTAGTTTCGTATCCTAGTAGTTTCGTATCCAAGTAGTTTCGTATCCAAGTAGTTTCGTATCCAAGTAGTTTCGTATTCTAGTAGTTGCGTATTCCAGAAGTTTTGTATCCTAGTAGTTTCGTATCCAAGTAGTTTTGTATCCTAGTAGTTTTGTATCCTAGTAGTTTTGTATACAAGTAGTTTCGTATCCTAATAGTTTTGTATCCTAGTAGTTTTGTATCCATGTAGTTTCGTATCCTAGTAGTTTGGTATCCAAGTAGTTTCGTATCCAAGTAGTTTAGCATCCAAGTAGTTTCGGATCCAAGTAGTTTCGGATCCAAGTAATTTTCGTATCCTAGTAGTTTCGTATCCTAGTAGTTTCGTATCCTAGTAGTTTTGTATCCTAGTAGTTTTGTATCCAAGTAGTTTTGTATCCTAGTAGTTTCGTATCCTAGTAGTTTCGTATCCTAGTAGTTTTGTATCCAAGTAGTTTTGTATCCTAGTAGTTTCGTATCCTAGTAGTTTCGTATCCTAGTAGTTTCGTATCCAAGTAGTTTTGTATCCTAGAAGTTTCATATCCTAGTAGCTTTGTATCCTAGTAGTTTCGTATCCTAGTAGTTGCGTATTACAGAAGTTTTGTATCCTAGTAGTTTTGCATCCAAGTAGTTTTGTATCCTAGTAGTTTTGCATCCAAGTAGTTTTGTATCCAAATAGTTTCGTATCCAAGTAGTTTTGTATCCTAGTCGTTTCGTATCCTAGTAGTTTTGTATCCTGGTAGTTTCATATCCTAGTAGTTTCGTATCCTAGTAGTTTCGTATCCACGTAGTTAGGTATCAAGTAGTTTCATATCCAAGTAGTTTTGTATCCAAGTAGTTTTGTATCCTAGTAATTTTGCATCCAAGTAGTTTCATATCCTAGTACGTTTGTATCCTAGTAGTTTCGTATCCTAGTAGTTGCGTATTCCAGAAGTTTTGTATCCAAGTAGTTTTGTATCCTAGTAGTTTTGCATCCAAGTAGTTTCATATCCTAGTAGTTTCGTATCCTCGTAGTTTTGTTTTCAGTAGTTTTGCATCCAAGTAGTTTTGCATCCTAGTAGTTTTGCATCCAAGTAGTTTCGTATCCTAGTAGTTTTGTATCCTAGTAGTTTCGTATCCTAGTAGTTTTGTATCCTAGTAGTTTCATATCCTAGTAGTTTCGTATTCTAGTAGTTGCGTATTCCAGAAGTTTTGTATCCTAGTTGTTTCGTATCCAAGTAGTTTCGTATCCAAGTAGTTTCGTATTCTAGTAGTTGCGTATTCCAGAAGTTTTGTATCCTAGTAGTTTCGTATCCAAGTAGTTTTGTATCCTAGTAGTTTTGTATCCTAGTAGTTTTGTATACAAGTAGTTTCGTATCCTAATAGTTTTGTATCCTAGTAGTTTTGTATCCATGTAGTTTTGTATTCTTGCAGTTGCGTGTTCCAGAAGTTTTGTATCCTAGTAGTTTTGTATCCTAGTAGTTTTGCATCCTAGTTGTTTCGTATCCAAGTAGTTTTGTATCTAAGTAGTTTTGTATCCTAGTAGTTTTGTATCCTAGTAGTTTTGTATCCTAGTAGTTTCGTATTCTAGTAGTTGCGTATTCCAGAAATTTTGTATCCATGTAGTTTCGTATCCCTTAGTGCCTTCAGTTACCAGGTTGTTTATCATAGGGCTTTTTCCAAGGACAGCAGTTTTTGTCAGCACTTGACAATGAGATTAGGTGAATTTGTAGGAAACCATCAAATCGTAGACACAATTTACAGTGAATTCATAGAAAAACAGTGAGTGAAATTGTAGACACATTTTTCTATATTGAAATTGAATGATAATAATCATATTTGAAAAATGGAAATAGCAGTAAATTAGATGATGAAAAACGACAGGCAAAATATAATATTCCACCAAGGAGGGGATTCCACTTAGTGGAGGTTAAGACGGGGTCCCAGTGTTTGTCCCACTGCAGTTTGGACGATCATGAAGTTTGGGTCGATTACCCAGTCTGCCTGCTTCTGCCTCAGATTTATTAAAACATGTCTTATTCTGTCTGCTCATCCATTTGATTACCATATCCAGAACTGATGTCACCTTAGTATCAACACTGAATACAGATGTTTACCCCGGGGCAGCTGACGTCTTATTACCCAAACAGTGTTCTGACGGGACCCGTTCTGACTTGACCCGTAATGGGATGTCCTCAGATCTTTGTTTAGCGATAACGAGAACTAAGATCTGATTTTAATGAGATTGCAGATTGCTAATTGTTATTTTAATTATGTCAAGATCAAATGTTTCACACATTGAACGATGTCTACAATGCTGTTATTTTTGTAGGATTAACAGAAATAGCAGACACAGTGTATGTATAATGCCATAATAACGGCTGAGAATCACAAGATAGATAAATGCAGAAAACCTATCAGCCAGTGAAAACAGTTGTTACTGCTGTGCTGGTAGCTTTAGGCCACACCCCCAAATAGGTTTGTTTTGATAGCCGATTACGAAGCACTTTCACTTGGACATTTAAATAAATGACTAAATGTATACCATGGTATACAGGAACATTTATATTCACAACAAAATTGCAAACATTTTTTTTCACATTACTTGCCCTTAAAATACAAAATATGGTAAGTAGTAGTATTTATTTTGCAGGATCCTCTGTAAGTACTCTTAGAGAAATTAACAATCCTGGGAGTATATCCCAGCTGAGAATGACAAGACGATCCTTCAGTAAGTGGTGAGCGCAGTTGGGGGTTATCGAACTCTTGTCTTGATAATGCATCACATGTTTATTGTCATTTATTTTTTTAAAGATTTGAGATACATTTGCCACAAAACAAATTCAATGTGTACATACGCAATAAATCAAATTGAAGTCCCATTTATTTGTTTTGTCTACGACTCCATCTTGAATTGTGTCTACATGTTGGAAGTTGTCTATGAATCATGATGAATTTTCCATGGCTACGAGTTCACCTACAGCTGAGTGACATTCAATGTCAGCCTGTTCAGTTCAGCACCATACCCATTCTCATGGGTTTCACCAGTAAGTGGTAAACAACGAAGACCACCATCATTTTGGGCTTTCCTCCCACATCAAGCTGACACGCTGTGATATAACGGAAATACTGTTCAAAGCAGCCTTAAACCTAACTCACTCACTCACTAGTTAGTGTTTTAGCAGTAGAATATGCCAAGGTTCCTATAATCATGATAATAGTAAACCTAAACATTACCAATATTAGGAACAGTGCCTAGCATGTCTATGTTAAAGACCTAAAGTACTTGTTTATGTAGCAATATCCGCAAAATTGTAAGGCACAAATATAGATGATGCTATACAAACAATCAGGGTAGTGAAACCACCGGAATATATTCATGTAATCTGGATGTAATGCATGATGTTTTATAAAACAACCAGCATACGGAATTACACAGAGCCAGAAAGACAACTTTAAGCATATATCAGTACACTAGTATTGTTACTGTTTCATCTGACAGGTCTGAAAGCCTACGTTTTATTATCATCTACTAGTTTCCACCTTTCTGTCAAAATGTATCAGTTTAATATTGCATCTAAATAGTCATTATCATGATTTTGACATATCCAGTTAAAACTAAATTCTGTAGAACTCCACTGTTAGTGAAAAGAATATAATGATAGAAAGGAAGAGAAAGATAAAGCTTCATTGTTTTCCCTTGGCAGTAGTTGCTGTATGCTAGCGTGTACCATCTGAAGGCAGTACAAAAGAAGTGTGAACTTTGCCTGGGAATATCAAGGCGTTATAGTGACATAAATAAACCATCAGTCATTTACAAATGCACTCGTAATGTAGCTGTGGTCTAAATGCAACACAAGCGTTTCCATCCGTGTTGAAGCTACGTCCAACAACGACGGCAGGCGGCCACACGCTGCCATCACCAGCTTTAGTGGAATAGTCTATAATGGCTTCAACAATTGATTTTCACAGCCTTTCATGTGCTGTGTAGTGGGTATTGCGAACTAAACAATGAAATGTCCCCACACGTTCAACATACAACTCACAGTGAACTAACGAGTGTTGATGTCTTACCGTACGATAACGCCAGTCTCTTTGAGATCTCTGTGATAAAATCCACTAGGCTATCCCCACGTCAACAGTGACAGCATATCCTGCTATTAGTTCCTCGGAAATGTAGATAAACAAGTAAGCCTAGAGACCCTTCAGACAAAGACGTTCCTGGTAGTTTGAACAACACGTTTCATGGTACAGTTGGCAGTGAAATGTGCAGTTACATTCTGATGTTATGCACTCCGAGTAAAAGCGACTATCTGTCAGTTGTGTGGTGCATGAAGGGGTGTCAAATGCCACATGCAACACTCTCCCCAGAACACAACAAATCAAAACCCGGAAGTGACCTCCTGTACTGTTAGCCGCACAACTGAGCGCTGCACTCGGCGTGAGCATCTAGGCCTACTAGCAACGGGATCTCTCGATCCCTGACAAGCTGTTACCGAGAGGGGACGGTTACGCATATTGAAATATTGTTCCAGAAACAAAAGCATTCATAATGCATATTGCTTATTGCATGTACCTAGATGAAACAGAAGCAGAGCTTTGTTAGTTTTTAAAAAACTTGCCTTTAGAATGGGGTTTGGGCTAGGTAAGCGTGTTTATTGTTTATTGTGCCACAATCAGCAATCAGCAATATACCAGCTAAATGACTGCGTTTAGTGAATAATCAAAGTCTGGACCACGCAGTCAAGTGATTGACATTATTATGAGCACCGATGGCCGCATCGATTTACGCAAATTGGATACGATGACATGCATCAACCACGTCAGCGAGCTTGACCACCCTGTCCCGTTAGTCGCCTCAAAATGACAAGCATGGATTGACCAACTCGAACGGTCCAGAGTGTACGTGTTATGAATGGTTTAGCTCAGGGTCACCTGTGACCGCAGAAACAATATTTCATCAAAGACCAACTTGTTTATGAGTTTTACTTGTTTATTTGTAAACAATATACACAATTCTGAAATTTAAGTATTTGTAAGAAAGGGAGAGAACATATGTATTTCTTTGACCGGGATATTTTATAACTTTAAAAGATATTGGAGATGACATGCGTTTTTATTGTGTGTGCATCAATTAAATTACTGTTTCAGTTGTATTAACATCAAAACACAACAAAACATAAGTGTTGATATATTTGACCACATCTCTCAATCCACACTGTATCGCAAATATACCAATATTTACGTCAAGCTCGCGGACTTGGTTGATGCATGTCATCGTATCCAAATTGCGTGGATGTCAATCACTGGATCGTCTGGTCCAGATTCGATTATTTACAGACCGCCGTCATATAGCTGGAATATTGCTGAGTGCGACGTTATACAATAAACAAACAAACAAACAGATCATAACCAGAGAGATTTAGCCGCCTCTAACGACAAACAAAAAAATGTGGCACGTGCTGGTGACTTGGTCCACCTCGGGTTTACATGCTTATATTAGGCAATATGTATATTTAGCAACCATACAAGGAGTGACCAATTAATGCCGACCTTCAACCAGAGCACACGAACGACGCTGTGGAGAGTTACTGACATACCCTTAACTTGTGGCATTGTTTCAGTGATCGCGCGGTTGACGTCACAGCGTTAAGTGTATGTACAGGGTATCTGTTCGTGCATCACGTTCTGTCCCTGCTCGCGTTTTGGCCCGCAGGAAATGTCATATTTCATATTTAAGGACATTTTGAAGTATCGCAATCAGTGTTTGAAACCAGAGACCACGCATATATCGGTATATGGTATCTGCTGAAATTCAGCAGAGTAAACTGAGAGCCTTTAGGGTCAGCACGTTTCAAAAACTGTAGGCCAAGTGAAAAAAACTGTAGGCCAAAACATTTTAGCTGAAGCACGGAGACATACTCTTGCAACGTCAGTGTTAGGATTCATTTACCAGTTTACAGCTTAAAATAAACTGCTGAAATTTAAAACTATCAGCCCGCGAATACATCTGTCGGATAAGAGTATTCAATGCATGGACATTTTACTTGTACCGATAGCGTCAGAGACCTCTTGGTCAAGTATCTGAAATACAAGGACAAAAGACTAAACTGTATAAAACGTTAACGCTCAATGGGCTCTGATCCATGAGTAATTCCCCGGGACGGGATATTGCCTTTGTTATGATTTTTTCCCCGTGGATACCTGTATGATATGCCTGATTTTCTCGTCTAGTTGGCGACCTATAATGCTCGACCAGAAAGCGCATTTGTCGCTTTTATTGATAGTATAAGGGCGTATCGTCTCATTGACCAACAAAAATGAAATAAAGTTTTGTGTTGGAAATAATAAGGAAATGTATAGGTATTTTCGGGGGTCGCACCATTAATGGCGACGACGTTTAGATGAACCACTTACTTGGCAATCAATTATTCAATTACCGGCTTATCCTTTGATAAAGTATGTTGTTTTTACATAGGCAGTTCACGCTCAGATTTATGTGCATTCCGTCTGCTTTAGTAAACCTACATATAGGAACCACTGCTTTTGACAAATCCATCGTTCAAGATAACAGTGATTAATCAATCAACGTATTATCGGTTAATCCTTTGATCGATATTTTTTGCTGATCATTCCTCTCTTGCTGCTCTGCCACGTGCATATTACTATATTTATAACCCTACCTTAGATTGAATAATTACCCCAGACGCAAGAAATGCCAAATGGGGACTGATTGCTACATACATCCCAGACAACCTCAGAGACAGGAAAACGTTAGCAAGATGGACTTAGGTTCAAATGAGGGTTTCATTGTGCAGTTTGCTGATCTGTCATAGTGTCAGTATAGATCCGATAGTCAAGGGTATACAAAAACATGCAATGACAAAACGGGGGTTCACTTACAGCCTCAAATTAATCCAGTGTTTATTTTTGCTATGATAGGTCTATTGACGTGACATTGCTACATGGCATGATTATACACATTAAGCTATGAAACAGTGAAATGGGATCCAAATCTTTCCCAGTCATCTTATCATCACACAATCAGAATCACAATCACACGCTTTCACTGCGGGGAGTCTATACTTTAATCAAACAATAACCAACAGGGATAGTTCCAAATAACGGCATCCGATGAACTTCTTTTTGTCCGTTTAGGTTGAAGAAATTAATTAACATGCGAAGTTTGTAGCTGATGTAGCTGTAAGTCTGAGAGGTGCTGCGGAGCAGGGTGGGACTGTGATGTGGCACATTTAATTGGGACGCCACTTGGCAAATGTGGTGGCAGCTGTGATTACACTTAATTGCCCCTTACCAACCAAAACCATTAGCCATTTACAGCATATTTTAATAAAAACAAACTTTGTTCTTTAAATATTCTGGGGTTTTCATATTGAATTCACCATATATATGAGTATACAATATTGGTATATTTAATTTGCCTTCATGAACTATGACTTAAAGATATGCCGAAAAAGTAAGAAATTTTTCACACTTTAGATTACCTAAATCAACATAAATAGTCTACTGTGATAAAACAAAATTGGCTTTACAGATGTAGTGTTAGGTAAATGAATTCCAAAATGTTCATTTTTCATAATACAAATAGGTTGTGGGTGATGTTCACAATGAGATATACTAGAATTGCATTCCTCTATGGCGGCCAAATTGGATTGTTTTGGGTTGCTCCATATCTGAAAATATTTGGAATGTCATTACCTGCAACTGTGCCAAGTTTCATGCTTCCCACTTAAAGTGCAAGTATCATGAAATATAGTACTATATTTATCTTACATCATTAGGTAGCCAGTATGATGTAGAATGAGATCAGTGTGAAAACGTATGATTAGCGCTGTTACGCTTAATTAAAAGTATGTATTTTGATGTCCGCATCTGTAACAACCCAAACGAATCTGAGGAGGCGTGGCTTTATTGGCAAGCTGCCTGGGTATTACCACCAGCTGGGAACAGGATATACCCGATCGTTTCATTAGTTGTATGTATAATACCCATATTGATTCCATGTAAGTCACGAGTATGTCTGGACGGGTGTCTGAAGTAACCTTCACTTAATGTGAAAGTGACACCGACTCACAGAGTCTATGACATGTTGCTTCATCGCTGTAGTGCTATTTCAAGACTACAGCAGGATATGGTGATTTGGAGAAATTAAACTAATCAAACGAACCAATATGTGTTTTGCAATCACTTGTAATCCATGCGTCCTCGACGGGGATCATCCTAATTATTTTCGTCACCATTGTCGGTCACCTGTAGGGGTTGACTTGGACCGAAATCACCAATAATTTATTTATCTTCCTAGAAACATCCACGTTCCATGATAACTCGGAAAGTATTGGACATATCACCAGGTTATGGCCAGGATGTCGCAAAAGGAGCGATGTAAGTGCGATCAACGCTTCAGAATTTTATACACAGATCAGCGAATATTTTAAACACAGAAAAGTCTCACAACAAAATTAATGAGAGTACCGAAACGGAACAATAAACGCAAATGAAGAAATAGCATGTTTCTCACATAGTTTTCACCAGGAATAGTGAACTCAATTTGTGATGTAAATTGTCTTTGTCACTTTTCCATTGTTGAAAGAAAGTGGATTATATTTAAATCCTTTAATCCCACTTATACGCAGGAAAGTACAGTTTACAAATGGCTCATTATTAATTGTGGTTAGGGGATGTCTAAGGGTTAAGGATGGGGAATAAAAAGCTAGCTTTGGCGAGAATGTGTATACGTCCATGGCCTTGAAGGGAGGCTTGCCTGCTATAGAGTGCGAACGGAGGGGCAGGCTTGTTGTTCGATCAAGCGTGTTATTTTCGAGGTAATTTCCAAGATGATCATATATGGAGCCTCTGTATAGAAAAGCCCCGCCTCCACTTTATTTACGTTTCAGCTTTTGAAATTGATAGACGGGCAAAAGTGCAAATAAACATTATTTATGCACAGCTTTCCACGTTTTGATGTCATGGATCTGTGCTCCAAGGATCAGGGGTGTCATTAAATAAGAAAAAAAGTAATAATGAAAACGTGGTTATAGGTTCACAGGTTTATTACTTACAACTAACTGTACCAATAGATGACAATAAAAGGATCAAATAAGCCCAATCTGCGCTGACAAAGACCACTGATTAATCACACAAGAGCAAATACACAAGCAACTGTAATAAACTGTAAGACAGTAATAAAATGAGAGTAGCTTAAACAGCTTTTTGACAAGATATAGTCAAGATGCTTAGACAGCCAATTAAGTCGGTTCCGACCAATTAACACATGAGTTAATTAACTTAACTTATGAGTGAATAACCTCGGGAAATAAACACAGGGGGCCTATTCCAAAAATATGTCACTTGGACAATGAAACAGACGAGAACGTCTGAAAATGAAACTG